AAAAAAAAAAAAAAAATCCAAGTGTCTAGTAATATAACTTGGTTAAAGTATTTGTATCACTCAGTATTTGTAAAGTATTTATGCCATTCAGTTAAAAAAAAAAAAAGAAAGAAAGAAAGAAGGAGCTGGGCATGGTGATGAACACCTATAATCCTAGGACTTTGGGAGGCTAAGGAAAGAGGGTTACAGTTCCAGCTCAGTGTACATAACTCAAAAATTTAATGTAAAGACTGTGGGTTCAATCTTCAGTTAGAGAGAGAGAGAGACAGACAGACAGACAGACAGACAGAGACAGAGACAGAGAGAAGAGAGGAACATGAGAGAGAGAGAGAGAGAGAGAGAGAGAGAGAGAGAGAGAATTCAAAAAGAAAAAGTGGAAAAGTCCAGACTCTTTTCACCCACAGCTTTGTTTTCTTTGATTTTAGTTACATGCATGCAGCAGGACAAAAATATTAAACAGGAAATAAATGTCAAGTTTTCTTTTGCACACCATTCTGAGTTGTGAGATGCAATCATACACTGTGCCCTAGTCCCACCAGGACAGGAGTCATCTTTTAGTCCCCTGAGATGCTGCTAGGTGAAGCTCTAAGTGACACTTGTGCCTTCAGGTTTCATAGTTTCATCCAGACCAAGCACCTCATGTTCATTCAGAGTGTGGGGCTAACACTAGCATTTCACAGCTTGACAATGTGGTGCAAAGACAGAGCTAATGGCTTTAGGATATGTAAGGATGGAAGCAGGGTACACAAAACACAAAAGTTTGTATTCCTGAATTATAAAGTGGGACATGAAGAGATTTTGTTTCAGGTTGGTTAACCAAAATACAAAATTTTAGGTATAGTCATTAAAATTATCAATCCAGCAATGGTACGGTGACTAAGGATGTTGGGAGGAGCAAGGGAGATGAGGAAGTGTAAAAAGAATTAAGGTTCAGCATGAATGTATATATGTACATGTTCTTACAATGTCTTCATTATGTATCACAAACACATACTCATGAAACTCCCACAGTAAATTAAATTAAAATAAACAGAAGTTGTGAAGAGAGTGGGGGGAGTATAATCTAAGTTCTTCATCTTTAGGTGGGAAGAAGACATTGATGTGCCTGAAGGACATTATATCAAATGAATAAGGCAGACACAGAATGACAAATCCCACATGCTGTTACTTACATAGAGAAATTAAAGCACAGAATCTCCTAGAATTTTACAGTAGTGGTTGTTAGAGGTTGGCAAGGGTATGGGGAGGAAAGAAGAGAGAATGTTTAACAAACCCTGGATTGCAGTTGAAATGATGAAGGACTGTAAATGTTGTATATCACAGAAAAATCATGATGGCTGACAACAGTGGGTCACATGTTTCAAGACAGCGAGCGAAAAGAATCTTTAATGTTCTCAGTGTAAATGATAACTATTTGAGGCGATGGATTTAATAACTACTATGATATGATCATTGTACATCATCTATGTGCATAGAAATAGTCATATCGTACTATATAAATGTTTGCAATTAGTTCATGCTAATAAAATGTTTTAAAAAATGTAGTCTAAGGTTGGATGCATGCTTTACAAAGCTTGGGATGTAGTCTTTAAAGTTATAAATGCATTGTTACCTAACAGGGGAGATACCATGACACGAAGGTGGTTTTCCCAGGGCAAGGCTTACCCATTACACTCTGGATGTGCTGACCTCGGCGATTCCCCCAAATGTGGGAAAATTTGCATAATTTGTGGTAGTGGGGAGGTCTATGTTCACATTTTCCCTTGGAAAAAAACCTAAACCTATAAATACAACAGCAGATTCAATAAAATAAAAAGTAACTAAAAGAAAAGCGATGAAGACAATGAAAAAAACAGTATAACTAAATACCATATCTTTGTAGTGGGAGGTAAATGCTTAAAGTTTGTAGAGAAATAGAAGAGTAAGAAAATTACTCTTTATGAAGATGGTTATGAGAATTTAAGATAGAAATTGTCTAAGAAATTGTCCTACCCCTTGCAGCTGGGGTGGAGATGAAGAATGAAAAAGAAATTTACATGTTTTATTTTTTACCTTTTTACCTGTGCTAATTGAATTATTTGCATTTCATGTATAGCATACACTTTGATAGTATAATAATTATAAGTAAAAGCATGGGATGTAGCCATGTGTTGGTTATCTATTTCACAAGGAATATACTATTATCTATGAAAGCATGTGTTAGTCCAATTACCTACTACTTTTTATATTTCTTTCATAGAGCAGAATCATGAAGCAGCCTTTGCTTTATCATATCTACTCTCTGTTGCGACTGTTGCCCCTTTGTATTGTGTGTGTCTCCTCTAGCAACAAATGCATAGTGACACATGAAGTAGCTGACTGCAGTCACCTGAAGCTGACTCAAGTGCCTGACGACCTTCCCACAAACATAACAGTGCTGAATCTGACCCACAACCAGCTCAGAAAATTGCCACCTGCCAACTTGACAATATACAGCAAACTTACTGTCTTGGATGGAGGATTCAACTCAATTTCAAAACTAGAGCCAGAACTGTGCCAAAATCTCCCTTTGTTGAAAATTTTGAACCTCCAACACAATGAGCTATCTCATCTCTCTGACAAAACGTTCATGTTTTGTGTGAATTTGACTGAACTCCATCTAATGTCCAACTCAATCCAGAAAATTCAAAACAATCCTTTTAGGAACCAAAAGGTAAGATGAAAGGGTTTATTTCCACCTAAGAGATTTAATGCCAACTTTTGAACTTATTTATCTTTCAACGGAATATCTAAATATCAAGGTAGCAGTAAGAAAGCTTACTTACCCCATTGGATTACAGAGATGCATACTCAAATATTGCCATTGTGATACAAAATATTTTCTGAATTACAGCTTTAAAGCAATCTGCCTTTCTTAAATTTAAATAATTTTATCTCTCTTGATTTCTCCCACGAGAAATAGGACTTAGATACAAGGAGCGTAGGTTAAGAGCCAGGAAACATCAGACTCTCTCCTGGGACAGCTGGGGATGACCTTGCAGTTCTGCATTTGGTGTAGAAATGGTGAAGAAAAAAACCCACTACAAGGTCTGACTTCAATAAATCTAAGAAATGATATAATGATAAAGCAAAATTATTTGGCCAAAAATTCTTATTGATTTAAGAAATCTCAAAGTGTCACATTTTAGTACTTCATTTGAATTTTAAATCTGAAAAATGCATGTCACCTGTAAGTCTCAGGCAGGTATTAAGTACTTTCTTTAGACTGCTGGTTAGCTATTTGAAATCCTTTCTTGTTTCCTATTAGATTCTGAAGTATCTTTGTGTGTAAAGATCTCAAAATCTGTTTAGAGAAATTATTGCAAAATGTTACTTTTCAAAAAGGGATAAATAAAATAATTTTTTCATTGGCATAGATTAGATTTTTTCCTAACAGGTATCAGATTTTTGTCATTCTTTTTTTTCTGATTTTGAAGTTTACATATTCAAAAGTAAGCTAGACCTTACTGAAGTAAGTTGTGGGATATTTTAAAAAATATTTAAAATATTTAATGCCTGATTTAAAATAGCTAACCAAAAATCTAAAGAAAGTATTTAATAACTACCTGAGACTTACAGAGATGACATGGACTTTCCAGATTTAAAATTCAAGCAAGCAAAAACAACACGGACAAGTATTGATATTCTGTGTTATGAAACTGTGACTCTTTCTCAATATGAAAATGTTAGCTACACATGGTAATACAGGCCTGTTTAGGATTTCATGGGAGGCAAAGTTCTACTCATGATTCTCAAGGAAGTATTTTTCCTTTTGTTCTGTTATGTCCAAGGCTACTGTGTGATGGTACATGTTTAATAAGACACATGGCTATTCTTTGCATCATAAGCACTTAGTACAAATAAGTAAATTATGAATTTTTCTTATCTCATAAATTAAAGGCTTAAATCTTTTTGCTTTGGTAAGACAAAATTATGACATAAAAATTAAACTCTTGTAACAGTGGTCTTTTTAATCACAGGAAATATTGTTTATTACTTCTATAATCAGGAAATTAATTATTGCTTATTACTTCTATTTACAGGAAATTAATCAGATGACATTTTGCTGTTGAGATATTGTTAAGATCCACTTACATTTAGGGAAGCTGTTTTTGATAGATTCACATACCTTGTTATTTTATTCTCAGAATTTAATCAAACTAGATCTGTCTCATAATGGTTTATCATCTACACAACTGGGAACTGAGCTCCAACTGGAAAATCTCCAGGAGCTTCTACTATCAAATAATAAAATTCATGTACTGAGAAGTGAAGAACTTGATTTCCTGGGTAATTCTTCTTTACAAAAATTAGAGTTGTCATCAAATCCAATTAAAGAGGTAAGAAATAAGGTAAAATAGTTTTACCCTTACATATGTGTAACCCTTAACTGTGTCACACTGGTGAGAATGTAAAGACTCTTTGAAAAGAAGCCACATGACCTTGAGTCGAGGCTTCCAGAAATTCTTCACGTAGGTTGCTTGGACCCTTAGGGACATCCCCAAATTGAGATTTGGTAGTAGAGGGTTGGAAGCTGGAGCCCTGCTGTAACACGGGAGGCTAACATCTCTGTGCCATTCTTTGACCTGGGAAAACTTACTGGTTTTAATTCTTACTTTTAAAGTAGGAGTAAAACTCTTCATCTCATAAATAATCTGAAGATTGAAAATAGTATGCTGGCCTAAAAGCTCAAGTTTTAGAGCTGAGTTAACTGCCCCTATTGAACCTGTGGATTTTAATTGTATCTCCCAACTTTCAAATAGTACAACAGTAATTTTATTTCATAGGACTGGATAGTAAAGAATTTAGCACAGCATCTGGCATGTAGTGAGTGCTTAGGAAGTGATGTCTAGCACTATGGTATAGAGACCTTTTGGTAAGGGCTGTGCCTGGTACATTGACTATCTCTTCTTAAATCCACAATCTTCAGTTTAACTATTTTCATACACATTTAAGTCTATATTTTGTACCTTTACAGGCTGAAAGAATATTTGACATCTTTAAGTAAAATAGCTTTTTATAAGCTACATTATTTTTCAGACAGGGGGCCTACCCATTAGCTCAGTTGTTTAAGTGCCTGTTAAGCAAAGGCAGTCAGGCTCAGGATACTGTGGTTTGATCCCCAGAACCTCATATCTTTCCAGGCCTGCCCTTAAGGCATCCTGAGTCAACCCTCCCCTAAAAAAATAAATAAAAATTAAAAAATAAAAAATCCTATTTTTCAAACATAAAATTAGACTATATACAAAGTTATTCTGAAATAATAAAATACCTTGTGCAGGCTAGTCATGTTATTTTTGAACAGCTTTTTCTCTCAACTTATTTCCATAACCTTATAAAATACGTAAATAGTGATGGGCAGGAAAAATGAGAGTTAATAAAAATCATGCATAAGCTTGCTATCAGAAATATTAACAGCTACTGTTAATATTTGGGTATATTTATCTTTAGCTGTTCTCCAAAAAATTATTCTTTAAAACAGCTGAAAAAATAAAATAAAAGAGTATTTAGAGTACTAACTTTGCTCCAGATACTGAAATTTTTTATATTTTATATATATAGCTCTTTTAATCAACTTATTTTTTATTGTCATATTATATGACAATAAATTGTATGGGAAACAGTTATGTGACATACCTAAGTCCTCCTGTCTGCTGATAGGTAGCAGCCCCCTGCGACAGAGCTGGGTGGATGGCTGTGTGACCGCAGCCCATATTCAACTTCTGTGCTGTATTTCCTCTTGACAGTAATGGTGTCTCCTGCTTTTAAAAAATGAATATGGGGCCAGGGAGACGGCTCAGTGGATTAAGCGCTTGCCTGGCAAACTCAAAGGTCTGAGTTCAATCCTCAGTTCCACAAAAAAAAAAAAAAAAAAAAAAAAAAGAATATCATATCATGAACACCTCCCATGCAGTTAAGAATGGCTTAAAAATTTAATGTCAGTGGCTGGAAGATAAAGCTAACATGTAGGCGCATCCAGAGTAATTTCTTACATTGCATCTTATTTCCTCTTATTTAGTGAAATATACTTTCTTTTGCATTTTTTTCCATAGCCCATGCTTCTCACATAGTAAACATTAGAAATCAAGGCTCCTTTGCTGTCCTGGTGGGTTCACTCCCAGAGAGTGGCTGTTGTCCCCTATGGACTCCATCTCTCCAGCTTCTGTTTTCCTGGCCTGGCCCTGAGTTCCAGAATGGACATAGCTTTCGATGAGAGGATAGAAGCAAGTAGAAGGGATCTAGAAATAGGATAGTTAAATCACAAGGAAGCAGGAGTAGAAAGACAGGAAAGAGCTGAAATGCTGAGTTTCTATTGCAAAGGTGTGTGTTGCTGTATCAGGCACTTTGTCATCACTAGCACAAAATACCCGACACCTGTGATTTAAAGGAGGAGAGGTTTACATTTGCTCAGCTCCAGTGGGTTCAGAAACAGTAGGAGGAAAGAAATGATAAAGCTGCTTGACCCCTGGCAGTCAGGAAGGACAATGAGAAGGTGCGACAAAGCAGCAGGGAGAAGTGTGCATCTTTCCAGATCATGCTCCCAGTGACAAAGCTCCTCCCACCAGGCCATACCTCTGGATAGCACATTCAATTAGGAACTCATGGAATCGATTAATCCACTAAATAGCACAGCACCCCCATGACCCAGTGACCTTTCGGAAGCCCCAACTCTGAATACAGATGACTTGTAGAGAACATGTTATATCTAAACCATAATAGTCACTGCTTCATAATAAAAGCTATCTGACTAGATATGCTGGCACATGGTTATAATCTCAATACTAGTGAGGAAAGAAGACAAATTTCAGGCCAGGCTGTGCAAATTAATTTAATGATACTGCCTCTAAATAAATAAATAAGCAAATAAATAAAATAGTAGAATGTATATAATATAGTATATGACATATACTAAGATATGACTATAGATGTTATAGATGACACAGACATATAGATATAGATATAGGTATAAATGTAGATATAGATACTGCAAAAGCCCTGGGTTCAATCTCCACTGAGTGCTACGCCAGTAAAAATCCATCCATGTATTTATTCTTCTTTGATAGTCTCTGACAATAAATAGCCACCAAGACATAACTAGGATCTGCATCAATGGTGACCTCACAGAGTTTGTTAACCACAATTGAATGCAGTGTGGTAACACTAAAGCCCCAGAAGATTTATCCTAGCCATGGAAGTCAGGGAAATCTCATGAAGTGGTGGTATGTGAATAAAATGTGAATGGTTGGTATAGGTGAGCTGGTCACCAAGGTAGGCCAGGGGCTGGGAGAACAGGATAGGTGTGACAGGTACAGAGTAAGGAGTGAGGCATGCATTAGAGGAGGGGGGAGACATGTGTTCAAAGGGGAGGGAGAGAAATGGAATAAAGAATTATTTTATGTTTTTAAAGGATCATGTGAGGATTATTATATTTTAGTTATTAATCTTATCCCCTCACTTTTAGTTTTCTCCAGGGTGTTTTCATGTGATTGGAAAATTATTTGGACTCTCTTTAAACAATGCCCAGCTGGGCCCTAGTCTTACAGAGAAGCTTTGTTTGGAATTATCAAATACAAGCATCCAGAATCTGTCTCTGAGTAACATCCAGCTGTATAGAACCAGCAACACAACTTTCCTTGGACTAAAGCAGACCAATCTCACCATGCTTGACCTTTCCCACAACAATTTAAATGTGATTGGTAATGATTCCTTTGTTTGGCTTCCACATCTGGAATATTTGTTCCTGGAGTATAATAATATAGCCCATTTGTCTTCTCGCTCTTTGAATGGGCTTTTCAATGTGAAATACCTGAATTTGAAACGATCTTTTACCAAACAAACTACTTCCCTTGCTTCACTTCCCAAGATTGATGACTTTTCTTTTCAGTGGCTAAGATGTTTGGAGTACCTTAATATGGAGGATAACAATATTCCAGGCATAAAAAGCAGTATGTTCAATGGGTTGATAAACCTAAAATACCTAAATCTATCTAACACATTTATAAGTTTGCAAACTTTAACAAATGAAACCTTTTTATCACTTGTTCATTCTCCTTTACGAGTGCTCAACTTAACCAGAAATAAAATCTCAAAATTAGAGAGTGGTGCTTTCTCTTGTTTGGGCTACCTAGAAGTACTTGACCTTGGCCTTAATGAAATTGAGCAAGAACTTACAGGCCAGGAATGGAGAGGTCTAGGAAATATTTTTGAAATATACCTTTCCTACAACAAATACCTACAACTGACCAGCAACTCCTTCGTGTCAGTCCCAGGACTTCAACGACTAATGCTCCGAAGGGTGGGCCTTAAAAGTATTGAGAGCTCCCCTTCACCTTTCCACAGTCTTCATAACTTGACCATTCTGGATCTAAGCAACAATAACATAGCCAACATTGATGATGCAATGTTAGAAGGTCTTGAGAAGCTAGAAATTCTGGATTTGCAGCACAATAACTTAGCACGGCTCTGGAAACATGCAAATCCTGGTGGTCCTGTTCTTTTTCTAAAGGGTCTTTCCCACCTCCACATCCTTAACTTAGAGTCTAATGGCTTTGATGAAATACCAGTGGAAGTATTCAAGGACTTGTTTGAACTTAAGAGCATCAATTTAGGATTGAATAATTTAAACATACTTCCACCATCTGTCTTTGACCATCAGATGTCTCTGAAGTCCTTGAATCTTCAGAAGAACCTCATAACATCAGTTGAGAAGAATGTTTTTGAGCCCGTTTTCCAGAACTTGACTTATTTAGATATGAGCTTTAATCCATTTGACTGTACATGTGAAAGCATTGCTTGGTTTGTTAATTGGATTAATAAGGCCCGTACTAACATCTCAGAGCTATCAAGTCATTACATCTGCAATACTCCACATCAGTCTCATGGGTTTCCAGTCATGCTGTTTGATACAGCACCCTGCAAAGACAGTGCCCCCTTTGAACTGCTTTTCATGGTCAACACCAGCATACTCTTGATTTTTATTTTCATTGTACTGCTCATCCATTTTGAGGGCTGGAGGATATCTTTTTATTGGAACGTTTTGGTCCATCGAGTTCTTGGTTTCAAGGAAGTAGATGGACAATCAGAGCAGTTTGAATACACCGCATATATAATTCATGCCTACAGAGATAGAGATTGGGTCTGGGAAAACTTCTCCCCACTGGAAGAAAAAGATCAATCTGTCAAATTTTGTCTGGAAGAAAGAGACTTTGAAGCAGGTGTCCTTGGACTTGAAGCAATTGTTAGTAGCATCAAAAGAAGCAGAAAAATTATTTTTGTTATAACACAACACCTATTAAAAGATCCACTGTGCAAAAGGTAGGTGAACATTGTGAAATTCTAAACGTACTTGTTTTCTACTAAATTTTCAAATATCACAACTCAAAGAGCTTTTAAAGTAAAATTAAGGGGAAAATTCTGATTATTAGGGACATATTCAGGTAAATTCTGAAGCAAATTTTAGATTGTTGAGCTTTGGTTTGTATACAATGTGTATTAATTATTTCATTTTAAAACTTTTAAACTTAGATTCAAGGTGCACCATGCAGTTCAGCAAGCTATTGAACAAAGTCTGGATTCCATCATATTGGTTTTTCTGGAGGACATTCCAGATTATAAACTTAACCATGCACTCTGTTTGCGAAGAGGAATGTTTAAGTCTCACTGCATCTTGACTTGGCCAGTTCAGAAGGAGCGGATTAATGCCTTTCACCACAAATTGCAAGTGGCACTTGGATCCCGAAATTCAGCATATTAAATCTATGTAGAGATTAAATGAGCAAAGGAGTATCTTTCCAATTGAAAAAGGTCAAGGTAAATTTAACTTTTATCTAAGAGTAATGTAAACTGATTATTCAGATGTGTACATGATGGTATTAGAAATTTATCTCCGTTTGAGGTCTTTTATTGACAATTCACTTATCCAATCAAAATAAATATCTACCCATATAGGAAGAACTTCTTCTACTTATCAAAACACAGTGGTCATGGAGGTCTACCACAACCTTAGAGTTCTAAAAGATTTCTCATCTGCAGAAAATAAGGTTATGTCTGGGTTTTGTGATAATCATTTTTGGATTTGGGGGATGTGGTTAGAGTGAAAAGTAATTCTTTTAGTGGAGATACACTTTTTCAGTTGTAAAAGAGTAAACTTGTAAAAAGTTTAATAACAGACATTTTCAGTTTGAAGCTTCACATTTTAGTATCCCCATAAGGATTTTGCTACATGGTAAGTGCTTTTTAAATTTGATGCCAAGAGGCAGAAATCTTTCACAGTTGAGCTGAATTACTTAATAAGATGAATACGGCAGCAAACACTTATTTGTACTTTCCCAATCTATGGGTTTTTGCTACTGGACATAGGAACAACTGTCTGACTTAAAAATACTATAGAAATGCTTGCTTCCACCAGCCCAGGTGCAGCATGGGTGAGACACTCTTCCACCCCCTTGGGAC